TAAAACAAAGAATGTGTTTTTAAAGCAGAGAATTTGAAGCAGAAAATACTTATTCTAGCTTAAATTACATGTTCTCATATTCTTCTATGCCATCGATGTGACAGATTTCCAAATAGATATTAATTTAAGACTATTTAAATAGTCATCAACTTTAACGATTAATATCTCGGTCCATAGAGTAAAGCGATACATTTTTTTTTTACCAGATTCGTTCATTTCGTGCAAAAACGTATCGAGCAAGTCTAATTTGTGTAATTGTAGTAGCAGAAAATCACTTACGTGTTCCTCTAGTCTATGCCATCGATGTGGCGAATTTCCCAACCTAATACACTAGTTCATCGCTGCGCGTATCATCAGCCACAGAAAACAGACACATGTGTGATGTGACCATGCATTGCCAGCGCCACATTTACCTCTTGCGCCAAAAATTCCAAAAGTACATTACCCCCACCACTCCGTAGCGGTGACGACGACGACGTTGATGATGATGACGTTTCTTAATAATAAAAGTTTCAGATTCGTACTTTGTGTCGCAATATCTCCGCTCGTAGAGCACGTAGAAAAAAAAAATAAAAACACTTTCATTATATATCCCGAGCAGTTGCAATCGATTGAGCACACTTAGAACTTGATCGATTTAGCCCTTATTGCGATTCGATAATCTCGATCTGTTGCAACTCGCCGGCTCGCGTAAAGTAGCTATGGTAGTGTCGCTGCGCGTAGCTTAGCGCCGAGACACTACCAGTGTCTCCAGATTAAATGTCATATTAAACGAGTTATTGTTTAGTTGAAAATTTTCTAACCTTTTTATGTACGATTTAATAAAAATAGAAGCAAGAAATAAAAATTTGGCTAGACAGAGTTGTTCCAAATTTAATTAGCTTTTATTTGTAAAAAATTCATCGAAATCGATTCAAATTTCGAAACTGTAGCCGTTTTTGAAACACGAAAGTTCATTCGGCCCCACTGTGCGGCGCGCCTTGATCGAAACTCAAACACGCCTAATTTTTACCTGTGCACCATTTCAGTAAACCATGAATAATTCCGTTATCTTACGTTATTTTTATCAACAGTTTTGGCAACATATTTTCAAGACAATCAACTTTCCGAAAATGGAATTAAAAAAATAGGTTTTTTTGATCCTTCAAACCACCCGGACCCCTTAATGTTACTAAGTAATGTTATATATCACTCAAATTGGCACTTGACAAATATTCACGTTCGATTCGATTCTTTCGTATAATTTCTGATCGCGTATCATTCAACCTTCTTTTTAATAAATGTAGCATTCAAATTAAATTCATTATTATGTTTGAAAAGTTTTTATTGTTTCAGCAATAAAAACTTTTTTGGTCCAGCAAAAGTGCCAAGTGTTATTACATGAACATTTTTTTATTTAAATTGAATTACGCTGAATAAAAATAAAGTTTACTGTTTACTTCTTTTTTCTTTTTCATAACGCATGTTTATAAGTTCAAATTTATTTATCTTACACTTAAATTCACACAACTCTTTCGTAACTTATACAACTCTATAATCCAATCGGGGTGGCACCCAGTTGGACACGGCTCAATTGGACACGAG